AATCACGACATCAATGTATGTTAGATGTGATGAAACACTTGGAGAACAGAAAGTGCGGCAAAACTGGTGTTCAATACTGGACTTCATATGTGTATCGAGAGTGGAGTCAAGTGTTTATCAATCGTACGAACAATGAGTGCTTTGTTTCACCCGATTATCGACTTTTGAACACTAAGTGTAAGACTGAATGCAAACGATATGTCACTGAATATGTGGTAAATGAAGTCGATTTACCTAATCGTTCGGAATATGGTCACAATTATATTGTTATTGAAATTCCATACAAAACAACGATAAATATGATTTGGAATTTATGTCCGAAAATGGATTTAATAACATATTTGTCAACAATTGGTGGACTAATGGGAACGTGGATGGGATTCAGTGTATATTCAATATTATATGATATCATGGTCAAAATAATAAAAATAATAAAGCATTACAACAGTAAAAGTAAAAATTTTGAAAAATTTAACAAACTCTTTAAATCAATATCATTAATGTTTTGCATATGTGTTATGTTTTATCAATTACTTGATATTTATAATGATTATCGAGAATATAACGTTAAATTACAAATTGAATTAGCACCAGTGTTAAGAATACCAAGGTTATTATTTGAAATAGAAATGAAATTTAGAAATTCAAAAATATTAGACAACTATAGGTCAGTATTACAAAAAAATAATCATAAATATGGTTTGATTAGTAATAATCAGCTAAATAATATAGTAAACAGAATTTTATTATCTTTCAATAATCCATATGGATTTCAAAATTATGCATTTGACTACAAACACAATGTACTAGCTTGCTATTTTCAATTCACCAACGGATATAAACTACCATGCTCATTACATGAAAATATATTTGATTTAGCTGATGAAGATCGCTATATAACCCTGAAGCAAATATTTTTTACAAAAGTTTCAATACTATTCTCCAATAAATTTTATAAGCAAGTAAATGATTCTAAATTAGCAAGGATAGTTATTATCTACAATCAAGAGGGTATAAATTTTATGGTTTACAAACTACTGTCCACTCATACCAAAAAGCCATTACCATTACCATTGAATAGCGAAACAAATATAATCTTTACTTCGCATTCATTTACGCGATTAAAAAGACCTGGATTTCAGTGTTCAGACAAACTTTCAAATTATAATCATATATTTAGCGTTATTAAAATGGACCTGGATTATGACGATTGCATTGTATCCAAGTTTAACGAGTCATTTGGTTGTTTACCAGTGTTTGGATACGGATATGATGTATATATTGAAAGACATTTACATAGATTTAGATATAAATTTTGTGATTATTCAGTAAATTATAAATCATCGTATTTCATAAATATTTATAACCATGCTCAACTGAAGTGTAAATTAATAGATGAAGAATTATGTCTTAAAATTGGATTTGAAATAGAGACTAGGACAATCAAATCTAACCTATCATATACACAGATTAATTTAATACCCAAATATACATTGGAGCCACAAGTGGTGGAGTACTTGGCCATGGATTACAACGATTTAGTCTATAATATCGGGGGTACTATAGGCATGTGGATCGGCATATCCATGCTATCATTTCACAATATTATTACTTATTTGTATTCATTTTTAAAAATTATTTACCGGTATATTATGTATGGGTGAAAATATAATTAAATTATTTCAGAGTCAAATAGCTTAAAGATTTTAACGATGTATTTATTGGTGTTTAAGTTTAAATATCTGTTATTTTATTTAAATCTTCATATAATTATAGACTTGTATTTTAAAATATATTATATTTTATAATAACATCGACTAATTCAAAAAAAATTATAAACGTGCAAAATTTTATTTTTATAAGCTAGGCATTTAAAATCTTATAAAAATAATATTCCATAATAAATACCATACTTTATGGTCCATAAATGACATAATATTTTTAATTACGCAAATATTGAACATAAATTTTAAATAGCTAAACTTTCAATCTGGTTAAGAAATAGGTTTTGGGAACTCCGTTTTTAATACTTATTTTACTTTAGCTTATTATATTGAATACAACGTAGATTAAGTGTTTACTTTAATAAACTTTATGGTATTCATTAAAATTAAATAAAGATTTGGATTTTATTGACAGATTTATTTGAATATTTAAACTTAATAAATATACGGTATATTAACTTTAGTCTAAATTATGTAATAATTTTATTTGTTTGGGTTTAAGTATATTCAAGGTTGGACAGCCTACTCTATACAACCAACAAAGTGGTTGAGCGCATGTCTGCGGTCTAATAATCTGTGGGTATTTTTTGGCCAACTTTGGGTCACAGGTGAAGGCCATAAGCAACGTATATCGGGTCCCAGAGGTGACCCTCTCGACGAAGTGCCAGTTCTCTGAGCCGGACGTATACGCCGACAGTCGTCCCAATTTAGGCTCAATTGTTGTGTTCGACATCTGGTCCATGAATGCGAAGCGTTCGCCCGTGAAGTCCGAGCCATATGTCGCCAAATAGAGCACAGAAGTGAACTGAAAACACTTGTTTAACCGTTTATCGACGTGTCGGCCCCAATACACGTCCTCTTTGGTTTTGGGTCTCTTCGTCGTATGTCTCGCGAAAATCGTCGGACCGACCGATAAGTACAGCTCAGCCGATGGGACGCCGAAGTGAATTGCAATCGTTTTGCGGATTCTGTTCGTCACCCGTCTGTAGACTTTTAGATCTTTTTCGGTGAACAGCTCTTTGAGGTCCTCTTCCTTTCTTTGTGTCCTTTCCATGAGTTCATAGATATTCACGAAATTAGTGGCCATCGAAAGGACGCCCGTATGTAAGTCGAGGGCTGAGATGGGACCCGAAGAGCCGCCCAATGATAGGCCTCTCTTCGCGACTGACAACAGGTGTTTGGCTTCCGATTGCGTGACCACCGAATCGGACACAAAACGACCGCATCTTTGAGGCGCACACGAAGGGAACCGAACTCTGTCTTCGGTATAGTCTTGAGAACACATGACTTGTCGTCCTAACGGTGAACCCCTTATGGATTGTGTGGCCGAAGCCATCACTAGCTCTTTGGTGTCATTGCATTGAGTCGTGTAGTAAACCATCACAAGAATAGTCATCGAGAGTGTCATTAGACTCATCACTCGCTTCACAATACTCTGGTTTTGTGTGCTTTCGGGCGACACTTCTTGAGACACCACTCGAGACACGTTCTCCTCATTTGTGTCGCCATTTCTATTGACAACTCTTTCACGTCGATTGAATCCATCCGAAGACATTGTGACCAATGAACTGATAATCCAATGAAATATCACAAAAAGCACAGAAAATAGTTCAGTCAATGGCGGCGCCTTCCAGTCCCACAATAGTGTAATGTATTAAATATAAAGTTACTTTTAATTGACGCAAAAACACACACAATATGTTAAATATTTAGACCATATTGAATTACATTGAAAACAAATAGCCAACTAAAACATTGATTTAAAAAGGTCTCCAATATTAAAATTATCAATTTACACATTAATTATTAAATTAAAATTAAAATGGATACGAAATTAAAATACATGTACAAATGTCGGAAAATACCGGATCTCGACTTACCTATAGAAAGACCTGGGTCCAAAAATTAAGTACCACCACATGCATTACAGTATTAGATTAAACTTAACTAGAATAAATTACAATAATTTATATAATGTACTAAACATACACTGTATATAAATTGTTTCTATTTATAATGTATTTATTGTATTTTTACGTATGAATATAATTAAAACCCGCAATTTTGTAACAATTGTCCCAGGAGTTAACAGTACTTATAATGGATAGGTATTTTTAAAATATATATTTTTATGTCTATTTTTAAATTAGCTTGTATAAAATAAAACTACCTGCCACGTATATTTTTATTAATTGATAGCTTTAAAATAACAGATTTATTTGTATATAGTTATGACAGTGATATATTTTACTAATTATTATCTAGTATAATTATGTTTTAAAATAATTATAAATTATTTTCTGACTCTCAGTTTTCTATCTGAAAGCCATTGATTACTAATTAATTTTTAAAATAATTTTGTATATTTAACATTGTATTTACAATACATTTCGTATATCATACTTTACAGGTATATTACACATTTATAAAAAATTGTTAACTAAATAAAGATTTTATTTTTTTATCACATGTAAGATGTTGCTTAATAATTAATTAGATTAAATAGAAATATTTTTACAATATTATTAAAATTACATAATTTTGCTAACGATTAAGAATAGCATTGACATTCATTTTGTACTGGATACATGATCATTAATGACATTCATAACAAGTAATATTTCTTAATGTACTACTATATGTTTGTACTGTACTAATGTATTGTAATATATTTGTAACGTAAGTTCACAACAATAAAATACATTTAATATTACTAACTTTTATAAGCACCTATTGTTCTTAAGCATTGTATTGTACCCTAATTGATTTGCTATTTGCTAATATGATAATTTAAGAAATACTTAAAATATTTATTCATTTTACCGAAAATAAGGTTTACATTCTCAATAACAAAATAACAAATATATCTGAAAATACTTTATAAAACTTAATTTTATTGCAGTAGATATTGAATTATACTTGAATTATATTTAATGAGCAATGGATAGCTATTTATACAAAATCGGTATTTGTTTAACAAAACCAACCGATGAAACAGTTGAGAGAAGTTTGTTACACAAACCTATCATACAATTTCTGTTTTGTATGATTTTTATCTTAAGAGTTATTTGTATTGAAATATTTATTGACAAGTTAAATGGCACTGACCTGGCTATGTTGGGAGCATTTGGACATTTTCTAAATATACGAAAACAAGTGGATATGGAAAACATAGTGGGAGGTATTAATGTGATTGGTGGCCAGGTGATTTATTACTACAATCATTTTTTAAATATAAAACCAACATTTTTAAAGATATTTGAAAAATTATCCCGGTACAACAGTTTAGATATAAGATCAACAACAGATTCATACGAATTAAATTATTCCAGGTGATTTATTACTACAATCATTTTTTAAATATAAAACCAACATTTTTAAAGATATTTGAAAAATTATCCCGGTTGTTGTCAAATCTATATTCTAGTTGTTGTCTAAGTATGCTTAATTTAATAGTATTTAATCGATTTGCTAGCTCTAATAATATAAACAACCACATAGTATTATTATGTTTTCATACCGGGGGTTAATATTTCTTTGTATGCTTAATACCTTATGTATTTTATTGTGATATAAGCATGGTGATCATATATGGTGTACCAAATTCAGTAATATTTATGTTATTTTGTTATTACGGTTTTAATTCAATATCAGTGCAAATGTTATTGTTTAATATAATGTGCTTATATTTAAAACTTCAAATCAAATCCATTAACAATACTATAATAAATGGGAAAACAAATTTAAATATTCATAAAATCTTTACTAAATTAAATAAAATCTATTCCGATATTAATGAGTATAATATCACGTATTGGTCAAAGTTTTTGTTATTATTTTGGTTTTGTTTTGGCTCAATTACAATTATACTCTTGGCCATATTTATTATCGTTGAAATTATGATGTTTAAAATGCTGATGACCTATATCTGTACCATATTTTCGGCACTATTTTTAGTCATTATACTCACGGCCTCTGCAGTCAATTATGAGGCGAGAAAATCGCATAAAATATTGTATCGATTTTTGGTGAAGTATTCGTTGCATTCAAACGATTTTTATTCATTGAGAATCCGTAACAAACTTAAGGTTATTTGCAATTTGTTTGTAATACTTATTAAATTATCTAATCATGATTAATATGTATTTTACAGTTGATTTCATTCATCGATGAAACGACTTTTAACAAGGTTGGATTTTCGTGTTGGAAGTTGTTTACCATTAATTACTTCCGGTGTTATGAAGTGAGTATAATAATAATTATACAGGTTTATAGATTAAGTGCAAATATTGGTATTTCGAATATAATTCTAAATTGTTTATAATACTATTTTATTTCCTAGATTATTTCATTGCTTGGTGTTTTCTTTTTGAAAATAATGCATTTATAATTTAACACAAAAATTATAAAACATGATCATTTAATATATTATAACTTATTATAATAAGTATAGATTAATTGTATTTTATGATAAAAGATATAATAAATATTCTGTGATTTTTATGAATATGAAAGCTTTTTATATTTTGTTAATTAGACCAATTTATATTGACATTTAGTAAACTATGGACATTACCTTTGTAGAATATTTCATAAAATGATCTAGATAAATCCCTTTATCATGCATTGAAAATACATATACTGTATACAGTATAATAATAACTAAGTTGGAAACATCGAGGGACAAATATAAATTGAGTGGTTATGATTAACATGAATGGTTAGCCGGTAACAGGATTAACATTTTGAATTAACTAATCTTGGCGAATTAAATAAATTAGTTTGTAAACATTCAAGCTCAACCATCGCTGACAACCTCATTTTGTCATTGAAATAACATAAGTTCTATGGGCTGTACATAACTTGAATGTAATGTTTTATGCCGTTAAACAATAACTTAATTCCAAAAATAATTACCGATATACAGGTATACAAAATAGCTATTTGAACACTTTACCAATTAATTTCAGATTAATTGATAGAGAAGATATTTTGCACACTTATTCTCATATATATAAGCTTTAATTTGATATATATTAAGTTGATATATCACGGGTTTAAACATGTTTAAATTAATTGGTAAAGTGTTCAAATAGCTATTTTGTATACCTGTATACACACAAAATACTTGTATAACATTGTATACAATTAAATCTCATGTTATTTTAATGACAAAATAAGGATGTCAGTGGCGGTTGAACGTGAATTCAACAAATTAATTAATTAATTTTAGTCAATTAGAAATGTTTATTATGTTACTGGCTAAATATTCATGACAATCATAACCACTTAATTTATATTTGTTCTCGATGTTTCCAACTAATTGGAATTAAAGGGAGTGTTTGCACACATTTAATACATTGAGAGGTCATGCTAATGGGTCAGGTATGCTGTATGTAATAGTGACATAAACTTACTAATAAATATTGAAATGCTGTGTCTTTTTGGACTACTATTTGCAATTCCCCAGAATTGTGACTCCCAATCAATTGACCTATTGTTTCAATTCGGTATTCTATAGGAACAGTAATTAATGAAAAAATAGATCCAGAATAGCAAAAATACTGGATCTCGACTTACCTATCGAAAGACCTGGGTCGAAAAATTAAGTACCAACACATACTAATTTGATTTTACCTTATTTAATGTTATTAAATATATCACATGATTTTTATGTGACATATATTTAACAAACATCTAAATTACATAAATAACATAGAAATACATTCTTATATAAATAAAACAATGTTTTGTCCCAGGAGTTAACAGTACTTATAATAGATAGCATAAAAATTTTATATATAAATACGGATAAAAATTTAATCTAACATATTTTATTTTGATGGACGGTGCATATAAAAATAATTAACTATCGAAATTTTATTGTCTAAATAAACATATATCAATACTGTGTAATATATTTTAATAATTATTATCTAGTATAATTATGTTTTTAGATAATTATAAATCATTTTCTGATTTTCCGTTTATCTAAAAGTCATTTATTTCTAACTAATTTTTAAAATTATTTTGTATACTTAACATTGTATTTACAATACATTTCGTATATTATACTTTATTGGTAGATTGCACATTTATCAAAATTGTTAAGTAAATAAAGATTTTATTTATCTATCATATGTAAAATGTTGCTTAATAATTAATTAGATTAATTAGAAATATGTTTACAATATTATTAAAATTAAATAATTAAGAATAGCATTGACATTCAGTTTGTACTGGATACATGATCATTAATGACATTCATAACAAGTAATATTTCTTAATGTACTACTATATGTTGTAATGTACTAATGTATTGTAATATATTTGTAATTTAAGTTCATAAAAATAGAATACATTTAATATTACTTAAATTTATAAACACCTATTGCTCTAGTGCATTGTATTGTACGCTAATTGATTTGCTATTAATTATATGATCATTTGAAAAATACTTAAAATATTTATTCATTTTATCGAAAATAAGGTAATTGTTTGCATTCTCAATAACAAAATAACAAATATATTTGAAAATATTTTATAAAACTTAAT